CTTGTCCTTCTGCTTCCATATAATCATTCCCCAGCCTCCTCTGCAGTTCTGTGCATCTGCGTGTTTAGATTCTGAATTATCGGTGGGAGTGATATTTTCCAATTCTTATCCTGATTCCTAAAATCTCTTCTGATATCATTATTTCCCTGTGTCAGATGTCTGAATAAAATGGATCCATCCAAGGGCTGTGACACCTTAGGGAACAGGTTCTCTTGTAACTAGGAGCCTGGGTTCTTAAATGGCTGTATGGTGTATAGTCCATCACCCCACAGCACACCTTGGTGGGGATGTAAGAGAGGAACAAGCTTTATTGGGGTAAGGACTGAGATATTCTCATGTTGTTAGGCCACTCTGAATAGTGCGGAATGAGAGAAGCAGAAATGAATGTATACATGAAACACACTGTCCTCTTTCATGGGACAGCACTTCTTTCTGACTTCAGTCCCAAAGTTTCTTCAGGATACTAATTACTCAAGATCACTGGTAGCTGTTTATCCACTAGAGGATTTTCTAAGGAACTTCATAGGGTTCTCAAAACTTGAGAATGACACTTTACAAGAGAAAGTAACATCCAGGAGGAGAGAGTTGCCTAATTAAAGTTCATGTTTGAAGAGCAGAGGAACAAGGTGTCCTTGCTTGAGGCCAGTACCTCTCCTTTTCTCATCATTTTCAGTTGCTTCCATGATATTTTTTTTCTTTTGTATCTAATGTCAGGATTATAAGTAAGAGAACTGTAGAGCTAAGCCATTAATCTTGGGAAGTTTATACTCCAAAAAAATCTGTCCATTAAATGTAAATCAACTCCTTATAAGGAATTAAAGAACAATTTTAAACAACAGTAATGACTATGCACATACAGTTTATAGGTGTATATATTTTTTTCTTAGCAAAAGGATATTGGGATGTAAGAAGAAACTAAATATTATCAAGCCAGTCCATATTGTCTGAAAAATACAATTATTAAATAAATATTTAAAAAGTCACCATTTATAAAATATCATTACTTGTAAAGAGATAGGGAAAGAAGCAATTAACATTTGCTGAGCACCCTATATGTGCCAAACATGTAAAATATGTGATTTGTATGTATCCTTACCACATGGCAAGTGTCATAGTCATTATTTTAATGAAGAGGTAATTAGCTCAGACCAACCAAGGATTGCACAAGGCTAACAGGTTTCAGTGCTGGGATGCAGACAAAGTGTATTTCTCAAGTCCATATTTATTTCACCTTTATTGCAGCACTAAATTTGAGCGTTGGAATTAAAAAAATAAATGCCTAACACTAAGGTTCTAGAAAAGACGTTCTATTTGTTGTATTATAATAAACATCAAAGTGCAGTCTCTCATCTTGTATGCTGTTTGTGATGGCTGAGTTTGAGTTTAGCGATTATATCCAGGGAGAAAGGGAGAGGTGGGGAAAGATACCTGAATAAATCATAACAAAAAATAGTATCTTAAGGAAAAAATCCCAGGATTGCAGACAATTGGTGTTATTTCAACCATTTGCCATGACTTTAAAAGTCTATGTAATGTAGCACATCTATATTTTTGAGGCCTGGGACACAGATTTAGGTTGTGTTTCTTGAAGCTGTTATGTGGAATCAAGCCACTCCCGGTGGACCTCCTAACCACCCAGCACCTATATCTAACCCTCATCTTTGCTCCCTGTTGCATTCACAGTCACTCTCATCAAGGTCTTAAGAAGACCTTTTTAAATTATATAATTGTATCTTTGTGTGTTTTATTGGAAGCAGTATAGGATCGTCATTGACAACAGATTCAGTAGCCAGATCACCTGAATTCAAATCCTATTTCCAATACTTAAGAGCTGTTGAACTTGATAAAAGATAAATTTAACATCTTTGTTCCTCAGTTTCCTCATCTGTGAGATGAGAATAATGATAATTAAAAAACTGTAGGGTCATGATGCTGATCCAATTCATTTGTGCATGGAATACTGCCTGGCACACAGCAGTGATAGATGTGGTAACTGCTATTATGTAACAAAAGATATGCTCTCATTGTTTTCATCTATCAAGCTAAGCACAATGTCATGGGACTTATATATAAATATCAAAGAGAATATTTTGGTCTTGAAAAGGGGAATAATAATATGTTATCAGAGATTTGAGGGCCACAAAAGATATAATTAAGCTTTTTGTTTTATTTTTAATTAGTAGCAGAAACCGCCAAATTACTTCAAAATTATTCTCTGCCCTAAAAGACAAAAGAAGTCCACGAAACGATTTGATAGTTCCTGTTACTAACCCAGATTTCTAGTTGGCTGAGCTGTCACTGATCGGCTGTTCCGTCTTGTTATTCCCGGGAGAGGGGTGGATGCCAGAAACCGGGCGAGGGCAGGGAAAGGCACGGGAGTCAAGGCTGGCGCAGCGTCAGAAATAACTGAAAGTCTCCCATGGCACAAAGTTTCAGTCGCTTTCACTTGCATTAATAACATTTTCGATGGCATCGACATCGTTGGGTTATTGCAGCTTTCCCCATTATACCTTCTAACCTATAATTTAATGATTAATTGGCAGACTCTAGTCCCGAGCTTGATCTGCCCTCCTTTGGGGGAAAATTGATTATTAAGGATTTCTGGCCACCAGTTTCTTTAAAATATTTCCAAAGTCTATCCCCCCCTCTTCGGGGTATCTTTCTCCGTAGGATCCAAGCTCAATGATTTAAGGCACAATTTGCTGACAGGAGAATCTGAGAACCCATTATGAAAATGAAGGCAGCAAACAACCTTTGAATGTATTTCCCAATTTAAAAAGCCTTCATTACATAGCACATTTCAGGCTGAGAATGTTAAAAAATTTATCACAGTTTCAGTAATTGCAGCTTCCTCTGGAAGCTTGGCATGATATGGAATCATTTGTAAAATGTGTATTTTGTTTGGCACTCCGTAGGAAGCTTGCCAGGCAATACATTTAATTAGGAACACGAAGAAGAGAATTGCGGTCTGTCATAATGTATTATCGTTACTTTTAAGTTCTCCGTGTGTTTAGGACGGTGGTCTCATAACAAGGTGTGTATTTAAAGCTCGAGGTAATTTCCCTTTCATTGGCCCAGGGGTTTTATAAGGGGAAATATATTATTTTGAGTGGAAAGGTGCATTAGCTGCATTCCTTAGATATAACTCTTTGTCTATTGTTTAAACTGTGTTAGCTGCTCTCCTTAGAAACAACCTTTGTCCACTGTTTAAGACCTTGAAAACCCAGGCATTGCCGTTTTGGAAGCTTAGACAGCTTTATTTCAGTTTAACTTGCTCTGGAGGAGCGTAGAAATAATGAAATGCGGTGCCCTTCTTGCACATGACCATGTACATAGCATCTAGCCCCACCTGGTGCATAAAGTAGATTTGATAAGAACTCGAATATTGTAATGATTAATGTTGGTGTTTTAAAAATTACGAAGCAATATGTGTCAGCAGATTGAAAAAGAAGTATGATGACCATCTTCAGAGGCCAGGCTTTCACTGTGTTAGACATACTGTTCCATTTTGACAGGAAACCTTGCTTATAAGGAATTTGAGAGGCACCACAGGAAAAGGGCAGTGAAAGGCCTACGTGCGCACCTGCTCGGGTTTTCAGGTCGAGGGTGCCGGGATCACTTACCTTTGCATGAGTCCCCGCTGTCGGTCATGGTCTCCTTCAGGGAGTAGAGAATTTCCTCTCATAGCAAGTCACTAGATTTAACACGAGGGCAGCTGCCTTCGGGACCAGTCCAAAGTGTAAATGAGACGGACAAAGACCGTTTTGTTCCCTTTCTCTTCTAACTCTACTCTCTTTTGGCCCCTCAAAGTCTTCCTTTTCTCACTCTGCCCGGCTTACTCCTACTCCCCATGTCCTTACTCTCCCCGTTCCCATCAAAGCATCAAAAGCAGTTTTGTTACAGTGTACACACGATGTATTAGAGATTGTACACTTGAAACCCATATAATTTTATTAACCACTGTCATCCCATTCTCTGGAAAAACAAGGAACAGAACCCAAATAATTAGAACCATCAGTATTTGACACTCAGTGAAGGGTTAGGAATTGGGCATAAGGAAAAAAGGAGAGGAGTGGTTTTAGGTAGATGGGACAATTACATTCATTCAGGTAATCACTAATTTTTGAGGAAAGAGAAGTCAGAAAAATATCTCCTTAGCTCATCCCTCTACGAAAATGTAAGCAATGTACTTCTTTCTCCTTAACTACCTTGCAAAATCCCTAAATGAACACAACTTTTATTCCACGACATTAGAAATCAAGTTTTAAAGGAACTGCCACAACAGTCATAACTTGTATTACTGAATGCTGCTTACTCTGTTTAAAGCAATGCTCTGCACACTTTGTAGAAATAAATGCATGTGATCCTGAGAATGATTCTGTGTAGTGGATGCCCCTATTACCACCAAGGAAACTGAGGCACAAAGTGAATATTTATCTCAGTTTACTTACACAAATAGTAAGAAGTTTTGGGTAAACAAGTACAAGATAGTGTGACTCCAGGTTCATACTCAACAGTGATATTACTATGAATTAATTGTGGAGGAGAAATAATGTGATTAAAAACAATAATGTAATTAACCAAAAAACTATAACAAAGGATTAAAAAGAACAAGACTAAATAAAAGTAGCCCTTGCTAATCAAAATGTGTTGTTGGACATATATGCAATTTTAAATCTCATGTTTCCACCTAGAATTAGAAAAGTACCTTTGCCTTGAGGTATCTACATTTTCCAGCAGTATTTCTATGCTGAGGTTTATTGTAAGAAATACCTGGGAATAAAGACTGAATGTATTCCTTGCATCTTAAAACAATAGGCCTTTCTTTTCTTTTTATTTAATACTGAAATCTAATTGAAGCCTGTCTAAAACTGAAGTATGTAAATCTAACGTCTAGTACTTTTCGGTGCGAACCTTGTGTGTGTTTGTGTGTGGGATGTGTGTGTGTTAGCATGAACCACTGCAACTAACATATATTCTATGTATTCTTTTACTTTAAGGGGCAAAGGACCACTAAAGCACACAACTGATGTGATCTATGCAGCTAAAATGATATCAGAATCAGGATCTAGGATGGATGTCCTTGCTCGGCAGATCGCCAACCAGGTGAATTTTCTACAAATGCACGGGGCGGAAGTCTATGTTAATAGTTTTCTGCTATTTTAATGTTATTGGGTTGTTTTTATATTATTGAATTATTTTTTAATTTTATTCAGTAATTAATATACAAGTAGTGGACAATTCATTCGAAGGCAGCTTAATTATTTCTTAGGGTATTGTTGTTATTACTTAGGACTTGATTCTTTCTAAGATTATGAGCTTCCAATATATTCAAATTATTTTAAATATCAGCTTTTGAGTTTCAAATATATTCAGTTGGCTTTCATACCCAATGTTAGTATTTTTTTCCTTGATACCTTAGATTTCTTATTTTTGCTCTTCAAAAAGTAATACTTTTCAAAATTCTATGATTTTAAGTTTTCTGAGTCAACAATATATTCTAGCATTCTATGTAAAATTGCAAGATAAAGAGTAATTATTAGAGTACCAAAGTGAAGACATAAAATGTAGAAGTTATATAATCCTTATTGAGACTGATGTTCTATATACTTGGTATTTTTCTTTACATTTCTTGCATCTGCATGTCAATTTTCTAATCAGCACTTACATTATTAGAGTTACATTTTGCCTTTCATTGAAAAATCTATCAGTTTTCAGTTATGGTATTGAGATATTAATATTTCAAACTGAGATAAAGTATTGCTTTGCAGGTTTGATTTTATTCAACTTTATAATGCACATTTATCTCCCTTAGGGAAAAAAGCACTTTTCTTTTTGACTTTACAACTATTCCATATTATTTATTGCTTATATTCTTTTAACGGGATGCTTATTATTTATTCCTTTTATTCTCTGTTTCTTAAAACATGAATTTTCTCTTATTAGATGTTATATTTGTGGATATAAAGGAGGAAAAACAAATAAGAAATAATAACAAATAGTCTTAAACATTCTTGACTATATATATTTTTTCAGTATCTTGCCACTTTAAGCATTATAAACATTTTATTAATTTTTTAGTATTTAGTATTTATACTTAAAAACAAACTCTATTCTAATATATGACTAAATGACTGAAACCAAAATATGCCATGGTTTTCTATATTATGTCCAATCCAAGTTGAAACTAAAAATGAATTGGAAGCAATTCTTAAACTTAAGATAATTTTAGTCTAACAGCATATAATTTCTGGTAAAACAACATCTATGCATTAAAAAATGGTAAATCATAGTTTCCCAAATATAACTCTCACAAGTCAGTGTGGCCAGTGTAGGTCATAAGAGTCTGTGTTGTCCTTTATCTCTGACATAATAAAAAAGTTCCCCTGTATTCTTTTAAAATCCTCACCTGAGGCTATGTTTTTATTGGCTTTAGAGAGAGAGGAAGGGAGAGAGAAACATTGATTGTGGGGATTGAACCTGCAGCATAGGTATGTGCCCTGATCAGGAATCGAACCTTCTGGTAAATGGGATGATGCTCCAGCAAACTGAGCCGTTGATCCAGGGCGAGTCCACTGTATTTTTAACTATACCTTCCCTGGATGCCCTTCGCTTCTGTGTTTTAGAAACCTCAGTTTGCTAAAGAGCAGTAAAGATAGGGATAGCAAAGAAGAAAAACATTCAAAGTATGCTGAGATTTCTAGGTGTAGAATCATCTTATATTAATGGCTAACCACTTAACAGATGGTAGAAACAGAAAAATGGTTTCATAGTAGTCAAGGTGGAATATGAGATGGTTGAGGGTTCTATGTGTTGATTGTGAAATGTTGGTAAGACATGAAGTGGACAAATGCAGTAGGTATATGGATCTTCTGAAGAGAGAGCTGGATGACAGAGACTTAGTAATTTTTATTTTGTAAGTGATAGATGAAGCCAGGACAGTACATATTATCCAAGAAGAGGGTGAGAGTGAAAAGATAGCCAAGAACAAAAACTGAGACCAACAAAAGGAGCAGCATTGAAAATTGTTTAGAAGGCATGTTCATGAACAAGGAGAGAGATGGGATTACAGGCTGAAGAAGGGTTATTGTTTTGAGGGATTTTATGTTGATAGATTCAAGGATAGCAAAAGACGACATTAAAAGTGCAGAAACAGATGGGATCATTAATGATTTGTGACCCTGAGGAAGGTGAAATCAGACAGAGTCTGGGCTGGCGTACAAGGTGGAGAAATGAGTCCTGGGTAGCGAAAGGTCATGGACACAGTGTTTCTGCTATCACAGGTTGCTTGAAATGTCTATTCTAACAATTCACAAGGACACCTAATAACTTTTCATTAACATACTTTGCCAGGTTAGCAGAAATTAAACTGTTGTCTGTAATTGCAAAAGTCATCTTAAATGTTTTTCAAGTAAAGTTTATATTCCAATATGGGCAAAAAATAGCTGAGCTTTGGAATAAAGATCTTTAAAGTATTAACTTTTCTAATTCACTCTTAAAATTCAAACTGAAAGGTAATAAATGTTTTTTACTTTTCTTCCCATTCCTAAATGATGTATTCTGTATTGGTACCAAGCATCTTTCTTGAAGAGTGAAAGCTGATTTAGCATGAGAAAACCACTTAGACTGGCATGCCATCTGCTTGCCTGTAGTGAATGTCCCGGTGGTTATAAAACATAAATTTAGAAGAAAAAATATCCATGCATTAAAAAGCTAACCAGATGTCCTGGTCAACATTTCTGATCTTAATAAACTGGGAAATAACAAAAATGTTATGATAGTCTACCACTTGATTTGTCTAAAAATCCCTAGCAGTGTTCCTTTAAAAGTTACTTTATGCAAATTTTATTTTTAAAAAATCAAGGGCACGAATGTTTTACAAATCTAAGGCCCAAATTTTCTGTATCACCTTCATGTAAAAATATAAAAGGTAGGAAATGATTATTTGACTCAAATAAAGGAGGTTTAGCATGTAGTAAGGACTTTTTAAAAATACCTTTTTTATTTTTCATTTATAGTTGACATACAATATTATATTAGTTTCAGGTATACAAGATAATAATTAGACATTGATATAACTTATGATCACCCAGATAAGTCTAGTACCCACCTGACATCATACAGTTATAATATTATTGGCTATATTCCCTGTGCTGTTTACATCCCCGAGTTTGTTTTTATAACTGTCAATTTGCACATCTAATTCTTCCTCCTTTTTCACCAATCCCCCCAACTCCCCTCCCACCTGACAACCATCAGTTCCCTGTATCTATCTATGAGTTTGTTTTAACTTTGTTCTTCTATTTTGGTTATTTTTTGGATCCCACATATAAGTGCAATCATATGGTAGTTGCGTTTGCCTGACTTATTTCACTTAGCATAATACCGTCTAGGTTAATCCACGTTGTTGCACATGGCAAGATTTTATGCTTTTTTATGGCTGAGTAATATCCCACAGTATATGTACTATCTCTTTTTTTATCCATTGGAAGAACATTCTTAGAGTGGGAATGAGTCATTCTCCGGATGCTGCTTCTAGGCAGGCAAAACCGATCAGAAAAGCTTTCCAAATGTCCACAGGAAAGAAGGCTTTAGTAAAGTCTACATTATGGAATTGACCAGTTAGTATGCTTTTATTGCTTTGGTTATAAATCTGACTACCACTGTTAGGTGTAACCAAGATTCTCCTCAATTTTGGAAATAGAGGGTAAAGCTGGCTCAAGCAGCTTTTAACTTCAAAAGCCCAACTTCAGCTTTTCTACCCATTTGAATCGCTCTTAACAGAATTCTAAACTCTTCTAGCAGGGCTCTGAAAAACTACATGTTTTTCTCTGCGATTGCAACCTTGGTTATTGGTTTAGAATCTAATTATTAATTTAGAAGTTCAATTTTATCAGATATTTTATAGCGGTGTTGGTCTTTAAGGAAAAAAATCCACACTAATCTTACAAGTTACAGATAAGTGTCAATTTAAGAAACCAGTTTACAAATCAGAGTAGCAATTTACCGTTTACTGTATAAGATAAAACTGGCGAGACGACTGATCCTGTTCCTAGGTTGTAGAGGTAGGCTAAGTATAGGCAGATCACGTCAGTTTGAATACCAGCTCTGCCGCTTATTAACTGGGCAATCAGTCATCCTCTCTGTGCCTCAGTTTCCTTCCTTGCTAATTGGGGATACTGATAGAACCTACCTCATGGAGTTGTGTGATTATTAAAATAGTGTAGGAAAAGCACTTGGAACAGTATATGACGGATAGAACACTAAGTGTCCGAGATTATCACTGAGTTCATCCATAAGAGCAAAGACTAGATAAGGCTATTACTCAGTGAGAACAAAGAAGATGGTGTTTTCAATGAATGTCATGTAGAGGAGATCATGGTAAAGTGAATGAAACAGAAAACTAAATTCAAATCTTTAGACAAATTATATACTCTATCAACACTTAGTTTACAAATGTGCAAAATGACAATAATTAGATCTGAGTATGTATGTTATTCTTAAGATCCATCCATGTGGTGGCAAATGGCAGTATTTCCTCATGCTGAGTAGTAGTCCATAGTAGGCATGTACCACATCTTCTTGATCCAGTCATGCTCTGCAAAATAAGTCAGGCAGAAAAAAGTCAAGAACCATATGCTTTCACTTATGTGTGGGATATAAAATTGAAAACAACAAATGAACAAACAAGGGAAACAGAGTATGGTGGTTACCAGAGGGAAGGGGCTGGAAGGTAGCAAAGGGAGTCAAATATATGATGACAGGAGAGGGTTTCACTTTGGGTGTTGGGCACACAATGCAACATACAGATGATGTACCATAGAAGTGTACACTTGAAACTTATATAATCTTATTGACCAATGTCACCCCAATAAATTTCATTAAAAAGAAAAAAAATCAAATCTAGATCTAAGTAAAATGGGACTGTGGGTACTAACGTAAAATTACGCATGTAAAGAACATGGTGCAGTACCAGGCACATAGGAAGCACTTACCAAAGGTCAACTTCCTGTCGTGGTAAAACAGGATGACTCGCCGTTCATCGTTATAGGTAATTCTAGACAACTAATGTTGGGCCTTGAGGAAGATCTAAGTATCTTCACTTCAAATTAGTGCTGGAGACATAGTTTTGCCATGAATTCTTCTTTCTTTGAAGCTATGAAACCCAGAGTATTCTGTGATGAAAGACACTCCAAATTCCCTTTAGTGATTTAAAATCAAGTAGTTTTGAAAGCAAATAGATGTGGATTCAAATACTGGTTCTAGCATAAGGTCTTCAATCATAAGAAAATTATTATGCTTTCTAAATTTCTGATTTCTCAGCTGTAAATTGGGAAAATCCCTTCCTCTTCTCTCCACCCTCCTCTCCCTTTGTGTATATATATCTTTCTTTTCCGTCTCCTTTTTCTTAATTAATTATAATTTGACCCTTTCTGTGAGACTTGGGGGATTATTCTTACTCTCTCATTTAGAATTCTGAAAACACCCTTAAGGTCAAGGTGTAGTATCTTGTCTGATTGTCTCTCTGGCTGGTAATCATGTATCTTTGTATCATTTCATAGGCCCATGTCTATCTAGCAGATTGATAGTATTTATGCAGAAGAGTTTATTTCTTTGCTACCTTTGTTGATTAACTTTTACTCAAAGTTCACATTTTCATCTTGTCCACACATTCTGGAGCTATGTAGAGTAGTCTTATAAGAAATTCTCAAGGATTTTCCAACAACACTCCAGCTTATTGACTACTAGGAAAAAGCAGAAATGCATGGAAGAATTTCCAGTCTTTTTCCTATCTTATATTTCATTTTGCATTTGAGTTCATTAAGATTAAAGCTTTCACAATAACATTTTTATAATGATAAATGTAGTATATATTTTAATATATGTAAGATATGAAGAAAACACAATTGTTGATTGTATTATGTTTATTTACCATTTTCACATATTTATATCTTAATACTATGTTTTAAACACAAAGGCAACCATATGTGTTTTAGACAATGTAATTAAACAGTATATTAAATTTTAAATACTATTTTCACCTTCCCAAAACATTTTTGTGCATTCTTTGAAAATATTGTTTCCTTGTTGACTATATAATATCACATTATATGAAGAGCATTCTCATTTAATCTTTCCACTATTGTAGGACATTTATTTCCAAATTTTGCTATTATAAGTCATGCTACAATGAATATCTTTGCATAAAACTATTCTCTATATTTCAGCATTCTTATGAAAGTGTACGTAAATTAGAATTCAGTTATTGGGAATTTAAAAAATCTGTTTTAATTTCATAAAAGATTAAACACTGCCCACAAATATTTATCATGTTATGATGAAGCTCAAAGCTGTACCCCAGATAGTTCCTTATAGAACATAATATAATATAGGAGACTTTTGGTAAAGAAGTAATTAAGGTCAAAACATGGATAAACTCTTCTAATAGAGGAAGCATATCAGAATCTACATGGCCATGGTCCGAGAATTGGGGCTCAATGAAAACAACATTGCTTATAAGTTACTTGCGATGTCAATATTTACTCACTTTGATCTAACTATTAATGTTGCTACTTCCATTTTTATTTTTTATGCATATTTAGTGTCCAGATCCATCATGCAAACAGGACTTGTTGGCCTACCTAGAGCAGATTAAATTCTACTCTCACCAACTGAAAATCTGCAGTCAAGTTAAAGCTGAGATCCAGAGCCTGGGCGGAGAGCTCATCATGTCAGCTGTGAGTACTGCCCAGCACTAATGTCACCACATGTAGGTGATGATTAAAACTGAGCAGCTAAATGTATATAAAAGATTATTAATTTATATTCATTTTTCCATCATTCATTTCTATAACAGAAATGCAGGTTTTGAAAAATTTGATTTTCATAGGTAATTTTAGAAGTGGAATATAATAGAACATTATAAATTTAGATGAACTTTCATAAATTCTTTGGTGACCCTGAGTTTCAATCTACTATAAAATGACCATGGTAGAAATAACGTCTAACTTTTCTACTCATCTTTAATAACAGTATATCATTTCTTTAGAGCGGGTATGGTAATAAAATATTTTATGTCTATATTGGATTCAGTTATCAGTGACTTTGAGAAGGACATGGACCAAGATTATAAATTTAAGTTAAAGTGAAACATCATGAATGTTATGGGAACTTATATTCATGGAGACAAATGTTTTAAAGTGATAACAGTATACTTATAAATTTGAAACATCTAGGACCTCAATAGCCTGACATTGGACTCTCCCATAGTGAACTAACATTCTTAAAAAGAATGTAGTTACAAAAATGCAAGCAAAGAATTACCATGAAGGGTAAGAGGGCAGGGAACTAAGCCTTACTGACTATTGTCTCATTTAATCTTCACAATAGCAAGCCACATAGACTGTTTATTGGATTGTTTTATTTACTTCAACACTTGGAAAAAATGAAATCCAGAATGGTTAAATAACTTCTCAAAGGTCATACTGGTAAATGTCAGGCTGGGGTTTACCTTGGAAGACCTAGGCCGCCTTTGTTCAGGTGGACACAAGAGAAAGCCCCATAAGTGTGCCTCGATTAATAAGTAAAATCAACTGTATATTTACAAAGGAAGGAGAGGAAAAGAATTCAAGGTAAGTGGGGCAACTGAAATAAAAAATACGGAAAGATAAGGAATTTTATGGAAATAGCAAACTGTCTGATGTGACTGGAAACAATTATACGTGGTACTGGTGGTGTGTGTGTTGGGAAGGTGGGGAATAGAAGAGAAACTGAAAACAAAATTGGGGCTTTTTCAAAAGAACCACTTACAACATTTTAATCTGACCCTGTAGGCAATTGAGAGTAACTGAAAAAAATTAAGTTTGAGATGGGCATAAACAAATCCATATTTTTGGAAGTTAGATGTTTTTTTAAAAAGATTTTGATGAGGGAGAGAGGAACATAGACTGGTTGCCTCATGCACACACCCAGATCCAGGATCAAACCTGCAACCTGGGTATGTGCCCCAATCAGGAATCGAACCCACCACCCTGTAGTGCATGGGACTATGCTCCAACCAACTGGAGTCACACCAGTCAGGGCTGGAAGTTAACCGTTTTTGACAAGGTGGTGATAGTGTGAAAAGGGGAGAGAGGCGCTAGAAGATAGACTATTAAAAATAAATAGTACAGGCGTCTAAGAGAGTAACAGTGAGGACCTAGATTAAGGCAACATTAGTGAGAATGGAGAGCAGTGTATCGTGCAAGAAAAAACTTGAGGTAGAAGTTATTAGAGTCAATGATCTAGTAAATGTTAAGGTTGAAAAAGAAAGAATTGATTTACCCCAAGGTTTTGAGATTTGTAACTCACGCAACAGTGGCATCATTAACCAAAAGCGATATGTAGAAGGAAGCGCAGATTAGGAAAAGGCAATTCATTCAGGTTTTGCTTGTTAAATTTAAGTGACTAAGGGGCATCCGAGGAGAAAGGTCTAGGAAAATGGGCATATGGCTATGAAACTCAGGAGAGAAGTATGAAGGAGAAATAAATGGGACCATCCAGTGACATTATGTTGAATGAGACAAAATATAACAGATCCAGAAAACTGTTCTACACATAAGGGATTCTAATGTGCCTGTATCAGCGACAGAGACCTGGCTGTGGCAGTTTAAACATATTGGGAGTTTATTATCTCCATAAAAGAGTCTGAGAATGGGCAACCCAGGACTGTTATGGCAGCCTCACAAAGTCATTGGGGAGTCGGGCACTTTGGTCTTTCTGCTTTATTATCCTTGGTTTCTGGCTTTCCTGCCTATCAAAGTCAGAATATGGCTTCTCTGGCTCTAGCTATGGCTTTTCTATTCCCGACAGACAGGGAAACAGAAACACGCATCTCTTACATCTTTTTAAGTTTCTTCCGAATGCTTTCTTTTACATATTATTGTCTAGGACTTAATTACATGGCTACACTTAATGGCAAGGGATGATGCAAAATGTAAAATTTGTTTGCTTTTGTGTGTGTTAATCTGGGCACATTGTTTTCCCCCAATTAAATCAGTTTTGTTTCTGGGAAGAGAGAATGGATAGCAATTTCTACCGCATCTTTCTATGATTACTGAAATCACAGCAGTTCTCACATATGTTGTGATTACCTGCTTTTTATGCATCTTTCCCACTAGGCTATATAGTCCTTGAATATTTTTGAGTGATTGAAGGTACAGTAGTCAATGTCTATAAATAATGCAGAAATTTTAGGTTGACTGAGCCTTAAAGTGCATAGTAGATCTTGATATCTTTTCCAAAGCAGTATCAGTAATACGGGGAAGGCAAAAATTAGACCATATTGGGCTGAATACTAATTAGGCAGTGACAGAGCAAAGATAGTAAAATAGAGTAAATTTCCCAACAGTTTGTAGTTAAAAGGAAGGGAAGAGAGGGAGGGAGATATTCAAGGGGCAGGTGGAATTACTGGAAGCTTCATTTTCTTCTTTTATTTTATTGCTTATCATTTTTATTTATGTGCTTTTTTAAGATGCCAGTAATTGAAAAATTCTTAGGGAAAGATCAGAAGAAGCCAGAAAAGAATGAATCTATGAAGAATCAAGTCTTAAGAGAGAGGGAATGGAATTAAGAAAACAGAAAGACTAGGTATGGTAAATAAAAACAAAAAATTTTAAAAACCCCTCTTCTGAGCCATATAATGATAAGTGAAGATATAAACACATTTAGATACAGATAAATAGGAAATCAAAGAATTTTCTGCTGATGGATCCCATATTTTGGTAAAATAGGAGTTTTCTGTTAAGATTAAGATTTGAGTGCTGTACCCACAGTTTCATTTTAGCAAATGAACAAAGTAAAGATGTCCATATATTTAATCACTTTTCAGTATTGTTTAGAAGAGAAAATAATTCAAGTTAACTCTGATGATTTGAGAGAGGGATCAGATATACTGTGTGCTAGACAGTGTTCTACCAGAACTGAGCTCCAAGACATTGCCTGGATTACCGAACTTGACTCAGCTTCCGGTTATCACCTCAGTCACACAAAAATGAAGCCAACGTCACCTTCCAATGGCTATCATTCCTCAAGGAAAGAGGGCATATATAAAAATAAAATAGAGGATAGCAAAACATGACGTAACTATATAATTAAGCATACGATTGCAGATTGGTTTTCAGCTACCTTGACTTATTAATATACCAATTTAGAAGGAGAGTAAAAATATAACTCTAAGAAGATTGAAATGTACCTGGGTCACCTAAGGGCACTCCCATAAATACTATATTAGTTGTTTCTCTAGTGCCCTTATGCACAGTGCCAAGTGGGGGAAGCTATTATACTTTGTGAAAGGTGTCTCATAAAAAATATATATTGTTATTCTAGCCTGTATATATAAAAAACATTTCAGGAGGAGAAAATCAAATAATTTAATGGTTTGAAACTCTTAAAAATTACCCTTTCCTCAGTATTCTGTTTTTAGGCCAACAATTTTTTATACTACTTAAAACTGATTAATTATGTAATCACCATATTTTGTGTATTTCCTTTAATGTGTTTAATTGTGATCTCTTACCCTGAGGCAGGTGTGCCAAAACCACAATTTTTAAAATTGAATAAATAAATAAAACTAATCAGTCAGGGGAAAAGATCAGCAAGATTGAAAATTTGCCAAGCAACTGCAACTTAGCTTCACCAGAAATCAGGGAGCAGTGTGCATTCAATTAGGAGTGAAAAGAAACAGCAACAAAACAGCTATTGACCAAAAGAGCCATTAGGGCCAAAAGAACTCAGGATATCAAGTACATACAGAATGACTTAGTAGGTTAATGTGCTTGCCACGTTAAGACATTAAGGGAATTATTTAATGAGCTTTCTGAACTTAATGCCATCATTGGTAGTCATCAAGAAAATTGGGAAAACCAAAGAAGATCTGGAAAATTAGCTGAACTATTTTAGATTTAAAAGAGGGCAGGGAGATATATGAAATGGCATGAGGAGAGGTGAAAGGAATGCAGGGAAGGGCCAGGAGAAAAAGTAGAGCAGAATACACTTTACTAATAAGCTTAACTCTAGGCTGTTTTGTTTGTGTGTTTGTTTAATGGTTGGTAGGAGGCAGATGAAAGTAATTGGACCTTAGTAATTCAAATAATATATTTTATGGGGTGGAAGGGGTCAATGGGGAGAAAAGGGGACATCTGTAATATTTTTAACAACAATAATATATTTTAAATTTTAAAAAAGTGGGAATGCTGTTTTCTTGTTTTATTGCATGGTAGTAAAGTAGACTAAGTTCTCTCGGTATCTAGGTAAACTGATGTTACAATGGATTAGACTTTCTTTTTTTTTAATTTTCTTTTTCAATTACAGTTTACATTCAATATTATTTTGTACTAGCTTCAGGTGTACAGCATAGTGGTTAGACAACCATATCCTTTACAAAGTGTTTCCCCCAATATTTCCAGTATGCACCTGGCACCATGCATAGTTATTACATTATTGACTATGTTCCCTATGCTGTACTTTATATTCCTGTGATCATTTTGTAACTATATATTTGTACTTCTTAATTCCTTCACCTTTTCACCCCGTCCCCAAACCCCCTACCTTCTGGCAATCATCAGTCTGTTCTCTGTATCTTTGAGTCTATTTCAATTTTGTTTGTTCATTTATTTTGTTCTTTAGATTATATGTGTGTGTGTGAAACCATATGGTATTTGTCTTTCTCTGACGGACTTATATTATTTTAGCATAATACCACCTGCATCCACCCGTTCTGTTACATATGGTAAGATTCCATTCTTTTTTATGGTTGAGTAAGATTCCAGTGTGTGTGTGAGTGTGTGTGTGTATACATATATATATGACAGCTTTTTTATCCACTCACCTATTGATGGGCACTTGGGTTGCTTCCAGATCTTAGCTATTATAAATAACACTGCAATGAACATAGGGGTATATGTATCCTTTCGAATTAGTGTTTTGGGTTCCTTTGGCTATATACCCAGAAGTGGAATCACTGGGCCATAAGGTAGTTCCATTTTTAATTTTTGAGGACCCTTCATACTGGTTTTCTATAGTGACTACACCAATCTGGTTTAGATTTTCTTGAAACTTCTGATTGTGCTATGCATTTGAAGGAATCTTAGAAATAACCTATTCATTTAATATCTAACTCAATTTAACATTACAAACAATGAAATAGGTCAAGGACTTTCAGTGACTTGCCTTCATTCATGAAAAAGTTTAATGGCAGAGCCAGGATGAGAATCTAACTCTCATGGTCTTTGCTTTATTGCTACTGAAGGAAGCCCTATAGTCTCTCAGTGAGTTTAGTGGCAAAATGACAGGAGGTGGTGTTAGTACACACAGCCAGGACGGTACTACAGATATCAAGAGACAAGGAATGGTTTTAATATAAGATGTGGAGAAACACTGATTAGAACACAGTATTAATTGATAATAATGATGACTTAAGGATCCTAGGTTCTTAAGAAAGTCTGACCAGAATATAACTCTTCACCTTCAACATGAGAAGCTAATGTGAGGCAACAGGGAAACTGCTGGATTCCAAGTTAGGAGACGTTATAGTCTAGACATTACTCTCTTCGGGTTTGTTTCCTCCTCTGTCTATACAACTAAGGTTTGAAATTAAATTAGCTGTATGGTTCCTTTCAATTTAGAATATCTGATCTTATTTTATTGTGAATATTTAAGTTCTTTTTTCATTTCCTCTTGTGTATATTCTTCAGTTATTTTCTTTGTGATTACCATGGGAATTGCGTTTAGCATATGAAAGTTACAACACTGTGTCTTGAATTTATCCCAGCTTAACTTGAACAACATACAAAAATTCTGCTTCTTTACCAGCACTATCACCATCTCTTTCAGTTGTTAAAGTCACAAAGTTATACCTTTATATATTTTGTGTCAAAAAACATAAGCTAATAAAAATTTTGATATATTAGTATCTTAAATTATGTAGAAAACAAAATGTGGAATTGAAAATCAAAATTATATTAATACTAATGTTTAGACTGTTTTAAAAAAAATGTATTACCTTCTTAAATCCTTAGAAAACAAAAAAGTAGAATTATATAATATTACTACAATACTACTAGATTTTACAATTGCCCACATATTTACTTCATTGAGATCTTTATGTCTTTATAAAGGTCTTCTGAAAAGGAAGCAACCAAGCAGTGACCGGGGTACAGAGTCCTGATACTTGGAGGACATGGTCCTCGTTGCTCACCTGGCTCCCTGCCCTTACAGGTTACGTGCAAGCTGCTTCAGGGACATGCGCACAGCTGTCTGCCTAGGGTCTGGGGTGTGGATGATGGATAGCTGCCACGGGCTAAGATCTGAAGTTGACATAAGTTAACCATGATGCACCTTCCAGCCCTTCCAGAGAAGGCGCAAGTCTTCAATGGACTCCAGAGTTACTAAGTGGTGACATCAGATGNTTCCAGCCCTTCCAGAGAAGGCGCAAGTCTTCAATGGACTCCAGAGTTACTAAGTGGTGATTCCACCAGTACAGCTTTGGCCTGGGAGGCTTCAGATTTCTGGTGCATCCTGTTCAGCCACCTTTCTGGAATTCTTGACCTCACTTCCTTTGGATGTCTCTTTCCTTTCACATTTCCTTTCCAAAGTTTTCTTCTCTGCCCTAAGTGACATACTATAATATGAAGCAGCAAACAGTTTTGTTTTGATTTGTTTTAAAAAGATGCTTCTAGAATTTTGCTGAAGCAACGTACAATAGCGAGAATGAGGTCAGAGGCTTCAGGGACTGCCTGTTAATGTTAGGTCTAGAGGAAAGTGAGGCATGCGTATCAGAGTGGTACAGTGTACTGTTCATGACTATAGGACTGACTTGACATGGCATTTACGGAGACTGTTGGGCATCTCTCCCAGAGCAGCAGTGATCAGTTTTGTGAAATTAGATCCTCTGGGCAATTAAGAGATGGGGAGGTTAAAACTTCTGGATAAGACCCACACACACAGGTTGATAAGAAAATAGAGGGGAGAGAAAAAAATATGAATGTGATGTGAGAGTATCTATTATTAAATTTACCCTTAAAATAACTGTCATATTCTTATTTGCATGTCAAATAGTTCTGTATTAAAAAAGGAAAATATTGGAAGAATATAAGACTAATGGAAAATACTCTTCCTGTTTGAGGAAAAAAGGTAGCTTAGTTTTACCAATCTTTAGACAAGAAGAATGAGAGTTAATTATTTCTATTGTGTGCTAGACAGTTTGAACCACAAAGTTTCAAGGAGGTGGCCGGAGAGGCCGTGAAAGTGAGCAAGACGGATGTGAGAGCTGGAAGACGTGCCAGAGTCCCCATTAGGCAAAGTGCAGCTGAAGGAAAAGAGCAGAGCTGGATGCAAACATCCTGATCTTTATGAATTCAGTTGCAAGCCAGGGAGAAAAAGCACAGAAGAAAGGGGGAGGGATAAAAATGAAGGGGCTAAAGATTCTAGGACAGCAAAGTGCTGGCATCAAAATCCTTAAGGGTGTGGATAAAAGCACAACTGAAAGTAGATGTGAAAACAGGCACAAGCTAGTTTGGATGACATTGGCAAAAATAGCCATTTCAG